TTTCCCAGTTAACTACTAGAAAATGTGCTCCAGCAAAGTAATAGAATAGTTATCAGGGAAGGCAACTATTTAACGAAGAACCGAAAACAAGAGAAAGGCAAAAGGAATCTCCAGGATGATGGTGAAGAAACATTCCAAACCACTGTGAAGCAGGCCTAGAAATCAACCAATCTGGCTTAGAGGTCTTCAGGAGAGAATCCTTCAAAACTAATCAGAGATGAAAGGTATTGAATACATGTTATGAGGATATTTACAAAACTCAGGGAAAGTTTGGTAATGAATTAATACTGAGAAAACTTGAAAACAATATTTAAGCTGCAATAAGGCAAGAAACAAATAGAAGACATAGCGATTAGAAAGGAAAAAATAAATCTCTATTTGCAGATGACAAAAAATCCCAAGGAATCTACAAAAGATTCCTAGAACTAGTGAGTTCAGCAAGGTCTCAAGATACATAACCAACACACAAAAACAATCACATTTCTACATACTATCAGTGAGCATGCAAAAACCAAAATTAAAAACATAATACCATATACAATTGCTCCAAAGAAAATTACTTAGCTATACAGTTAATACATGCACAAGACCTGCATGTTGAGCAGTACAAAATGCTGATGAAAAAAAGATCTAATACCTAAATCAATGGAGAGACATACTGTGCTTATAGATGGAACATCAACATAATAACGATGTCAATTCTCTCAAAATTGATCTTAGGTTTAATGTAGTCCAATAAAAATCCCAGCAAGGTTTTTTGTCATAGACAAGTTTATTCTAAAATTTATATGGAAAGGCAAAGGAACCAGAATAGCTAACGCAATCTTACGAAGAAAAATAAAGTGCAAAAAATTACTTTAGCTGATATTAAGGCTTACTATATAGCTACAATAATCAAGACAGTGTGGTATTGGCAAGGGGACAGATATATAAATCAACGGAACAGAACTGAGACCCAGAAATAAGTCCATACAAACATGCCCAACAGATTTTTGAGACTGATGCAAACCCAATTTCATGCAGGACAAACAGCCTTTTCAACAAACAATGCTAGAGTAATTGGACTTCGTAAGCAAAAAAAATGAACCTTGACTTGTCATATGTTACACAAATATTAGTTCAAAATTGATCATAGACTTAGATGTAAAATATAAAGTTAGAAAACTTTTTGAAAAAAGAAAATCTTCAGGATCTGGCACATAGTAGATATTCTAGTAAATTCTTGTTTAAAGAACAAATGAAGAAACATGAGGAGTCTTTTGTGAGGGTGACCAGCCTAGAAAGCACACAGTCAACAATTCTCTCCCTTTGTAAAAATACCCTGGGACTCTTGGCTTCCCACTGAAGGTTTCTTCCATCTCAGGAGCCCTTTGCTTTACTCCCCAAAATATATGGTAGCAACTATTCAGTTCTGCAGCAGCACATTTTCACCATCCCAGCTTCCTTCAGTTGACGTGGTTAATGAGCCCAACTGCTGAATTATTTTCACCATGGTGGTCTGGGACTAGGCAGAAACATGTTTGGCGGCCAAAACAGTTTCCACGAGGAGGTGGCACGCCACACCAATCAGGGCCAGACCAATCAGGGACACAGGAGAGAACATGGTAGTTGATTCAAGGCAGAAAGAGTAGAGACTGCTTTTCTATAACAAGCCTTATAGAATCAAATGTCTCTTTAAATATATGCATAAGTGCATGAGTCTTTTTTTTTTTTTAATTTTAATTTTTATAAATTTTCTACTCCACTTCTCTTAAAGTTCAGAAGTGGAAGAAGGGGGTGGGAGAAATTAGCAGATAAAAACTTATGTGATTAAACAGATAATATTAAAATTGGACATCTTATCTTGCTTATACTAGACAGTGACCTAAGGATAGATCTATATCCATTCCAAAGTTTTATACCTCCTCTGTGGTACCTACCATATCACTAGGCATTCTGTAGATATTCAAAATACAGTTTTTCTTTACAGACTAGATGGTGTTATATTGTTAATATATAACAATATCTGAATTATCAAAGGAATTATGGATTCCATATAATCATGATTGAGCTTATTCTTTAATAAGTCAGTCACAGAATAATTCAAATCTCAGGGAAGCTGTTTTTTTAATGTGCAACCTTCCCTAAACCCCACTCCCATCCAAAATTTTTTTAATCAGAAAGGTCTTAAAAACTTGCAAATACTCAATATTATTCTTTATTCACAAATTAAAATATTCAAAACCTACAAATACTACCAAAGGGGGCAAAAAATTTTTTCAGCTTTATTAAAATATAACCGACATGTAAAATTGTAAAATATTTAAAGTATGCTATGTGATAATTTAATATAACCATCCAGTTAATTAATACATCATCTCACATATAAGAAGGTAAAATTTAATAAATAAAACTTAACATCTTCTGTCACAACTTCAAAACAACTTCCAATAATCATATAATTCTATTTTATCTCTACTTCTAAAACAAATAATGCTACATTAAATAATGACAATCTGATTAAAATTTTTGGATTTCAATAATCTTCTCAGAAACACCCCATACCACCTCTCTATAATACCTATGTGGATCAAAAATATAACAACTTATTTTTGAAAATAAAGTGACATGACAAAAATGAATAAAAACACTAGGCTAAGTAAGACAAAACAAGTTTGAAAGGATATTAGGCCAATATATTAACAGTGATTATCACTGAGCACAAGGAATACAGGTGGCATGATCATTCCCTCTGTTACTTTTTTTTTTACAATGTACACATTAAAAGAATTTAAGAAGATATAATGAAAAACAGCTCTCCTATAATGACACTTTAGCAAAGATGCTCCTAAGAAGTCCCTTGAAAGTCAGTGCAAAAGCTAGGAAAATAAGACTTCAAAACAAATGAAAGGTCATATACTTAAAAAGGAAAAAAAAAGAAACTTGGTGAACCATAACTTCTCTTAATAAACACTGCTAAAGACTATATCTCAAATCATTCTATATCTTAATTACCACAAATAACTTGCAGAAACACTTGTACTACACTTTGCATTACTATCCCCTTTAATATTATTTTCTAAAAAGTATTTTAAAGATTTCACATAAAATTCTTAGCACTTACTGCTGTAAGGCCTTCATTATTACAAATGTTGACATCAGCACTGTATTCTAATAATTTACTCATGCACTTCTTCTGCCTGAAAAGAGAGACAGTCACAAATAACTGATACTAGAAAAATAAACAAATGACAATTATTTTACTGAAACATTAATTACACTCAACATTAGTTGATACAAGTATCAATCTATATCTGCAATATTTAAATAAACACTATAAAATTTGAAATAAAATACAAAATTATTTCTACGAACAAAAGATAGAAAAGGAAAAGTACAATGAGATTTTCATGTCACTGGAACAAATTCATCACTCAAATGCTAAGAAATTTCTAGTGTTGACTGAATATTTGGAATAGTAATCTTCGTTAGAAATACAAGACAGTATAAGTCTAATGGAATTGGAATGCATATAGCAAAAAGGATATTTCAATGCTGTATCCTATATTCTTGGTTACAAAATATTTAAAAGTTAATACTAAGATGAATTATAAAAAACAACCACAAAATTAACAAAATGCATGTATGTGTCCCTCTACCTTCTTCATTTTTTTTTTTATTATTTTTACTGTGGTAAAATACACATAAAATTTATCATCTTAACTATTTTTAAGTGTACAGTTCAGTGGTACTGAGTATGTTCATATTGTTGTGAAACCATCACCATCATCCCTCTTGAGAACTTTTTTCGTCTTGCAAAACTGAAACCCATTAAACAATAACCCGCATTTCCTCTCCCTGTAGCCCCTGGCAAACACCATGCTATTTTCTGTCTCTACAATTTGGGCTTATCTAAGTACTTCATAAAAGTGGACTCACACAGTTGTTTTTCCTTTTGTGACTGGTTTATTTCACTTAGCATAATACCCTCGAAGTTCATCCATGTTGTAACATAAGTTAGCATTTCCTTCCTTTATAATGCTGAATAATATTCTACTATATGTATATACCACATTTGGCTTATCCGCCCATCAATGGACACAGATTGCTTTCGTTTAAGCTATTGTGAATAATGTTGCTATGAACATGGGTATACAAATATTTCTTCAAGACCCTGCTTTCAATTTTACTGAGTATATACCCAGAAGTGGAATTGTTAGATCATATGGTAATTCTATTTTTAATTTTCTGAAGAACCACCAAACTGTTTTTCAATGCATCTGTACCATCTTACATTCCCATCAACAGTGCACAAGGGTTCCAATTTCTCTACATATTCACTAACATCTGTTTTGTTTTGTTTTTTGATAGCTATACTAATGAGTGTGAAGTGGTATCTCATCATCATTTTGATTTGCATTTCCTTAATGATATGTTCTTAGTGGCCATTTTTATATCTTCTTTGGAGAAATGTCCATTCTATTCAAGTCTTTTACTTCTTTTTGAATTGCCCACCCATTTCATTTTGCTCACAATATTTCTTCTTAGCCTGATATATTACTGGTCACTATCCAATATTCATCTCAATTTCCCCTTCATTAAATAAAATGAAAATGTATGTGGAAACAAAGTAATACATAAAATATGTGTGTATGTATGTATGTGTATACATATATATGTGTGTGTATATATATATGTATACTATCCTTTATACATATATTCTTTGATTAAAGAAATATTATACAATCCATGGCATAAAAGTTTGTGATCCAGTTGCGTACTTATATATAAATAATATAAAATAGTGTGTGTAGTAGTATATCATATATAGTATGTTATACAATACGGTGTATATATTATGTATATACAGCATCAGTATATATACACACGCTAATATGATATGTATATATACATTAGTAAATATACTTGAGAATAGTATCTACAGACATAGTACATAGTATATAGAGAGTATTTAGCATATATGGTACATATGTATATATTACTACTTACTCAATTAGATAAATTTCTTCATGGCATGGATTATATATTTCTTTAACTCAGTGCTAAGTATAGTTAGGCACTCTCAATAAAACTATTAATTCTCAATCTTATAAATCAATAGCTAAAAATTTTATCGACTGAATAAATCTTTTAAACAAATTTCTTGCTTTGATTTTCATATCTGAAATGAAGTTAAATGTCATTTAAAAGCATTATAATCAAAGAAATGGAAGAAAATAAAGCTCTGAGTAAACTTATAAGTTCAAACATTTACAAAGTTCTTTCATCTACCACTGTTACAAAAACCTTAGAAAATAAATCTTCAATAATTGTGAGAGAACAGACCAGAGAGTCCTATTAAAATAAACTGTTTAAAATGTGTGTATGTACGCCCATGGACAGGCGCCTATATACGTATTGCTGCATTTCTAAAACCTATCCGAAGCCTGTTGTGCACCACTGGCCTAATTGCAAAACATTTAGGTGGAAACAGGCCAGTGAAATAGTCCCAAAGAAATGGTTAGGGTAGAGGCTAATGAAGAAAAGCAGCAATCCATAATGTTCTCCCCTCTCAAAAATGAACTGCAAAAGGTACAGGGCAATATGAGAGACATACATCCTCTTTTTCTTAACAATCATTATTGCTACTTTCTAGAACCTGAATTTAAGTCAAAACAACTCACTAAGTGAGCACCTGTTTTGCTAAAAATTGGACCTAAAATACTAACACATGGGGTCTGCCTTTTATGCGTTCACAATCTAGCCCAAAAAATAAAGAAAAAAATCATGTTTCAAATCTGACCGATATGAAACCTAAGGATACACAATAATTTTGAAGTCTTCCCTTTTAACATTCTCATACCATTGTGAGCGTGAGCAACGATGAATCCTCCTGTACAGGAAGCAACTATTTTCCTGCCCTGATACTGCAACAATTTTAGGAAGCTTATGGTAACCCAAATAACACAGGGACCAATCATCTAAGTGCTCAGTGGAAGCTTAATGGGTCTTCTACAAAAAGGAGAGCAATTCAGTACTAATGCATCGAGCACTAATGCGTAAAGAGAGATAGATGCTAAGGCCATCTGAAAACGATAGCTGAGGGAACAAAATAAAAACCAATCCCAAAAAATAGATGGACCAGCAAAAGTGGCAAAATTCCTCTATGACTATGTTTCAGTCTACACAAATTTAAACTCATAAAGAAATTTCTGAAAACACCAAAAGCAAATATTCATTGAACAACTCTAAGTTGTACGAGGCACACATTCAATAAATAATAAAAAGCAAAACAGTTAAGAACTGAAAGGCATCCAAACTGATGTTATGCTAGCATTGCGAACTCCTTATTCCTTTTCTCCTCACTGACTTGCATGTGAATCATGCAAAATCTCTTATATTTCTTCATCTTTAAAATGTAATGGCCTCCAACTTAAGTGTTCTCACAAAAAAAAAAATAATAATAAATGTATAAGGTGATGGTGATGGATGTGTTCATTAACTAGATGGGAGGAATCCTTTCACAATGTATAGATATATCAAATCACTACAATATACATGTTAAATAGCTTACTATTTAATTTGTCAATTATACCTCAACAAAGCTGGGGGTGGGAGAGAAGTAACAGTCTCCAATGACTAAGTCTTCCTACTACAATGGCAGAAACATTTTATCCCTGCTGTGCACCAATCTGTCCTTTCATTTACAGTTGTTGAGACAAGAGTACTGAGATATTTTTCTATATCTATATCTATAACTTTTCGAAAGAGCTTTGTCATTATCCCACCAATACCTGGGATAATGTATCTAAACCTGAGGTTAATTCGGCAAGGAAATGAATGATTTACTCTATGACGAACTTGGGTGTTAACGCCCTACAACATATCTAATGTGGCCAATTATTATAAAACAATTGTTTAATCAGCACACTATAACCTATTAGAACAGTGGTCAACTACACTGGTTCACATGCAACATCAGGAAATGGGTCAGACCAGATAGGGTAAAAGGATTAAGACTTTCCCTGTCCAAGCTAGACATCACTATGATTCTTTGTGGTTTCACTTTAATCCTTGCACGCAAAAATGTGGGCTCAGATTGATGCAACAGACAATTTTAACCCCATCTCACTTAGGCAGCTGCCTGATCTACCTAGAATCCCAGTCCAAAATAGAAAACAAAAATATTTTCAAGAGTAATCAAAAGAAGAGACACATAGAGATATACTTTCATAGAGAAATTTTATAGCATTCAAAGATGTTTAAAAGGTTGGCAAGCCCTGACTCAAAAACTTCTTTTCATTTTAAATGTCATTCCAACCATTTTGGTCTGATTTTTCAGTCCAACAGAATTTTAAGATATGAAAACAATGGTAGAGGAAGATACAGAGATGTGACATCTGAAATTCTTGACAAAAAAGGAGAGAAACCCATAACAAATGTAGTAGAATTTAAAACGGTACACAATAATATCATGATGCTTATAATGATGATCGGAGTTATCAAGAAAACATAAAAATACACTCACATTTTGGAAATACTACTTTTATAAGAAAAAGTTTATTTGATAAAAAAAAATTAATGCAATCTCCATCAAAATCTCAACAGCAGTTTTTAAAGAAATAAAACCAAAGAAAACTCATATTTGTATAGAAGCACAAAATAACCAATACTATCCCAAGGAAAAAGAATGAGGCTAGTGGTATCACTCTGCCTGATCTCAAATTATTTTACAAAGCGATGATAATCAACACAATGATACTGGCAGAAAAACAGACACACAGACCAATGGAACAGAACTGAGAGTCCAAAAATAAACCCCCATAAATTTGGGCAAATAATTTTCAACAAAAGAGCCAAAAACATACAGTGGAGAAAGAAAAGCCTCTTCAATAAATGGTGCTGGGAAAACTGGAAAGCCACATGCCAAAGAATGAAACTAGACTACTATCTGTCACCATACATCAAAATTAACTCAAAATGAATCAAGGACCTGAATGTAAGATCTGAAACAATAAATTGCATAGAAGAAAACATAGTAATAAACTCATGGACCTTGGTTTTAGAAAAGATTTCATGAATGTGACCTCAAAAGGAAGGGAAGTAATAGCAAAAATTAATGAATGGGACTATATCAAACTAAAAAGCTTCTGCACAACAAAAGAAACCATCAACAAGGCAAAGAGGCAACCATCCAAATGGGAGGAGTTACTTGCAAACAATGCCTCCAATAAGGGCCTAATATCCAAAATATACAAAGAACTCATACAACTCAACAATTAAAACAAATAATCCAATTAAAAAATGGGCAGAGGACCTGAACAGACACTTCTCCCAAGAAGACATACAAACTGCCAATGAACACATGAAAAGATGCTCAGCATCACTAGCTATGAAGAAAATGCAAAACAAAACCACAATGAGATACTACCTCATACCTGTCAGAATGACTATCATAAACAGGACAATAACAAGTTTGCAGAGGTTGTGGAGAAAAAGAAACCCTTATACACTTCTGGTGGGAATGTAAATTGGTACAGCCACTACAAAAAACAGTATAGAGGTTCCTCAAAAAATAATAGAATTACCATGTGACCCAGGAATCCCTCTTCTGGGAATTTACTGAAAAAAACTGAAAACATTTATCCACAAAGATATATGCACTCCGATGTTCATAGCGGCTTTATTCACAGTAGCTAAGACGTGGAAACAAACGTTCAGTGTCCTGAATGTTTGATGACTGGAAACATTCAGTGTCCTGAATGTTAGACGACTAGAAAGAGAAGATGTGGTACATATATACAATGGAATATTACTCAGCCATAAGAAAAGATAAAATACTGCCATTTGCAACAACATGGATGGATCTTGAGATTATCATGCTAAGTAAAATAAGTCAGAGAGAAAAAGTTGAGAACCATATGATTTCACTTATATATGGGATATAAACCTAAAAGCAACAAACAAACATGACAAACAGAGACTCACAGACATAGACATCGACATCGACATCAGATTAGTGGTTACTGGGAAAAGCAGGAGGTAGATAAGGGTAAAGGGGGTCAAATATATGGTGACAGAAGGAAATTTAACTTTGGGTGGTGAACACACAATGCAATATACAGATAAGGTATTATTGAATTGTACACTTGAAACCTATACGGTCTTATTAACCAATGTTACCTCAATAATTTTAATTTAAAAAAATTAAAAGGAGGGCTAATAAGTGCATTATCAAGTAAACTTTTTTTGTCATAATTAAAATGAAAACTAGTTTTAGAACTGAAAAGAGTAAGCAACCCTTATCTAGAAAGCTTATTCTAGTACAGCTCATTCTCAAATAATCACTATAAACAAACTGGGTGTAATATATCTACTCTTGGCTTTAATTCTAGTAATAAAATTAACTAAACAAGTAATGTGGAAACTAAGTCATGGAGTTAGATGTGGCAAAAGATTAGCAGGAAAAAAGACCCAAATAAAAAGGTTAAAAATTATGCTTTTCAGAAAATAAAATGTCATTATAATTCAAGTAAAAATGAACTTCAACAAATATATTTTCAAGAAGAAAAACATGAGTAAACAATTTAACAAATTATTAGCTATAACAGTTATTTAAAAATGGAATATAGGGGTGGCTCCATAATGTAGTGGTTAGCACATCTGCTTTACACGCAGAAGGTCCTGAGTTTGCATCCCAGGTGGAGCCACGGACCATACCCTGGGTGTGCCAAGCCCCGGGTGTGCCAGGCTCCAGGTGCACACCACGAGCGTGTGGGAGGAGACACCCCGCCTTCAGAAATCCAGTTCTTAAGGAGAAATGGCAATATCCATAGGCCAGGGGTGGAAGTAGTGGGGGAGGGGGATTAAAGAGGGGCAAAAAATGGAATATAATGACCCAAGACCCTCTTCTCAAGGCAAATACAGGGTGAAACAAATATCACCAAATCAAGGTAAAGTGCCCTGAATACTGATATACAACTTAACCTACTTAAGAAAACAAAATATTTACCCATTTCTAGCTGCCAAATGAAGGGGTGTACAGCCTGAAATATCTTGATAGTTAGGGTTTGCTCCTTTCTTTAATAGCAGAACCAAGCATTCCACCGATCCACAACTAAAACAATATTAAAAACAGCTGAGAAGCATTCAATAAACAGCCTAAGTTGACATAGCTTAATTAAAAAACAAAATGCTCTATAAAGCACATTATTTTTGAGATGCACATTAACCTAAAATTTGATTAACTTCTGTCACAAATAATATGTTTGTTAAAATATAAAGTCAATGACCTCATGTGTAGTTAGTATATAAAATCTCATATTGGTTGGATAAAAGAAAAATTTTAGTGAATTTAAATACATCCAGGAAAGACAATTCCCATGCCTAACCTACTGATTTTATCTAGTACAAGCTAAGACAGTAGATATGAGACTTGAGTCCAATCCCAAGGTTAACAATTTATTTAGAGAAAGAATATAAGCTTTGCACACTATTTCCTAAACAGATAACCACTCAACTGTCCTCATATCTTTCCATAATTACTGTAGGCCAATATTGATTCAAAGTTTCCTGACCATTACTCTAGAACAGACTTTAACTTAAAATCTTTAGACTTACTTTGCTGCAATGTGAAGCAAGCTTCTTTTCACACGTCCAAACGCATAATTAACATCAAACTTAGAATTTGATAGTAGCTCAGAAACAGACCTATGCCAAAAGAAAGTTAAATAAGTTGATATGTTTTTTTAAAAAGTTTGAAAAGAACATAATAGCTAAAGTTAACAGCTCTTTAACAATTACTCAAAAGATTCCGTCCCACATAAACCAAAAAAAAAACAAGGTACCACTCCTTAAGTACAGCATGGAAGGCAGCACAGTATCAACCAAACACCAACTGCCCTGACCTATAAACTAGTGCTGAAGGTTACTTCATCTGTGATCTATGTCATCTACTCTGAAGACATCTAAGTTGCCTTCAGTTCCCCTTAGATTCTTAAGAAACCTAGAAGAGGGCTGGCCTCTCCCCTTGCAAAAAGTGGAGCTCGTCTATATTAATTTTGGCCAAATTAAGAAAAATCAGAGACAAAAAACATATTTTAATTCTATCAAACAGGAAGTTTAAAGCAAAAAATCATTTATATTTAAAATTTGTTTCAAAACATAGTTTCTCTTCACTTTCTTCTCATTACACCAAATTACCTGATGGCCGGCTACCTCATCCCAGTCAGATGGCTGTATCTTATGTGACTAACCAAATACCTGACTTAATATTGGACTACTCGTTTAGAAAATCTCTTACCATAGAATTTCACAACTGACATGGATCTTAGAAAAATCTTGTTTCTTAATTCACAAACGGAAAATTATAACAGATATTAAAAAACTTGCCCCAGGATAACATCTATGGTTCAAACTGCATGTGTGTGTATGTGTACACACAACATTGAAGTAAATTTATACTTACCAAAAAGTATAAATTTGTGAAATCGGCACTTACCGATGTTGATCAGCCATAACCATTGGCATTAATGTATAAACAGCAGTTTCATTATCTGAATTAAAAAAAGAAAAGAAAAAATTAATTTATCTCCTACTTTTTCCAAAGGGTGGTACTTTAGACTATTTTGGAGTTTTCTTAACTCCATATTAAAGGCAAGAAGAGGTGAAAGAAGGTTAAGAATAGTGCAAAATATCAGAGGTACTGAAAAATTTTCAATAATGCAGAATTTCTTATCCCCACTAATGCTTGTCCCCTCTACATCACCATAAAAGTGCTTAGCTTCTGGATTTGAGGAAACATTAGACAGCTAATATTTTCTGTAGCTTTAACAACTAAAATTTCTTTTACTTCCAATGAAGTGTTATCAACTTCATGTTTTATCATATTTACATGTACTTTGGGGGAATTTTAAGCATATGTAGATATTAAAGATATATACGCTAAATAATTTTTAAAACATTACATAGGCATATTACTTGCTTCTTGCCAATATTATAAAAAAAGAAATTATTTTAGAAGCTGTTATAAAACAGTGTTAAAGTCTTTTACTTGTTGGTTTAAACTATTCACATTTTCATTTACATCTTTTATAGAATAAATTCATAGAAACATTATCCAAAAGTAAAGGTTAGAAGTCAGCAACATCTATGATGACATATTATACTTATGTAAATTTTAGCTAGTGTTTGAATTTATTTTATTTATAATTGTCATTTCTCAATTCAATGCATATTGGAGGTTTAAGTTTATTAATAATTTATTTACAGAGAAGTAACAGTGACGACTCCCTATTAGCCCTTAAAAAATTAATAATGAAGCTTAAATTAATGAGTTAAAGTTTGAAGAGAAAGAGAATACTTATATAGTATCAAAGTATCTCCCAAAAATATTAATTACAAAGGAAAAATAGTAAATTTATAGTGGAGAACCCAACAGATATCACCTTAACTAAGTAATAAATGGTAACATTACCAAAAATGATACATATTGATATCATGTAGCCCCTGGTATGATCCACTGAGAATTGGCACATCACTTTTGTAATATTCTTGCCATTGTAATATTCTTGCCAAAAATGCATAACTTTAATCATGAGAAAACATTAGGCAAACCCAAATTAAGAGGAATTCCACAAAACAACTGATTAAAAAGTCTCAAAGCCATTAAAAACAAGGAAAGATTGAAGAACTGCCACAGAGTCGGGGGAGGCTATCGAAATATGACAACTAAATGTAATATGGTATCCTGGATTGCATCCTAAAATAGAAAAAGGACATTAGCGGGAAAACTTGTGAAATTCTAATAAAGTCTGTAATGTAGGTAATAGTATTACGCCAATGTTAATTCCTTAGTTTTGATAATTGTACCATGGTTGTGAGAGATGTGAACATTAGGGGAAGATGGGTGAAGGGTGAATGGGAACTCTGTACTATTTTTTGTAACTTTTCTGTAAATCTAAAATTTCTTAAAAATAAAAGTTAAAAAAAAAAAAAAGAAGAGGGAATTAGTATCATTAAAAGTCTTAAGAGACAAATCAACCAAATATAATGTATGGACTTTGGATACTGACTCAAACAAACCAACTGTAAGGGGATATTTCTGAGAAGGGAAACTGCATATGCACTGGGTATTTGATGATAATACAAAATTACTGTTAATTGTCTTAGCTTTAATAATGATTGTATGATGTTTGAAAAACATTAGGAATATATAATAAAATATTTAGAGAAAATAAGGAAAATAGTTATTACCATTTCTTCGCATTTTTGTTTGTTCTTTTATTATTTGGGTATACATACATGAAGAGCAGTTTAGTCCTAATCAACATTTCACAAGTTCAGTATGCACATACAACAACTCTTTAAGTATAAAAATAAAATACCAAAGAATCCTATTAATTAATAGTCAACATGTTTTAAGCTAACTAGCTTAAAGGCACTATTTGAAACACTTTACATGTATCATTTCTTTTATCCTCACAACCACCTTATGATGTAGGTAGTATCATTATCCATTCCCATTTTACAAATGAGAAAACAGAAGACTGAGTAACAAGCTGGTGATAGTGGCATTAGTGGCTGGAATTCAAACCTGGATGATTCCAACCCCCACCCCGCCCTGCTGACCCCCAATGAAAATGTTACAGTGCACCACATACACTATCTGTTGTAACCAAAGGTCTAAAATACTTATTCTTCACATGTGCAACACATTCTAACTAGTTGTATTCTCTTCTATTTAGTTTTTTAAAATCATCATTGAAATTAAATTGTTCTCATTAACTATCAGTGAATCACACCACCAGTTGAAAAACACTGCACTTAAGCCTCTGTGGGCATGGCAACATTCTTTATATCTAACTCATTTGATAAACACCCCAATAAAAATCTGAACTTCTAAACCATGACCATTTCAATTGTCACTTCATAATAAACAAAGTCATAAACAAGAAATACCTGTATCTATGAAACTTGTAAATCAAGATAGTACATAATTTTAAATGAGCATGAGTGAGCATCATAAAGTTCATATGAGTTTTATTTACAGGATGTCTATTTAGATAAAATTTAGAAACAGATCTTATTGTTTAAGTAACATCTAACCCTATGAAAATATAGCTTCCATAGACTAAGGGATATGAAGAAAATATAACCACAACCGTAGTGCTAGAAGACGACTATCTAAGAAATAGTATATTAAGAACGGAATAAGATTTGGTGTCAGATGCTTCTTCTGTACTCTCATGAAGATACCCTGAGAACTAGCTAGATATACAATAAAGTTTTCAGACTAAAAGTAAAATTTAACCTCTCACTTTATCAGATATGTTGGCCATTTTTATTAACAAAATTTCAGAATCCAACAATAAATGGAAAATCTTAAACAGGGAGCTCATACTCATATTATACACAATTTCTCTTCAAACCATCAAATGGGAGCGATTTTTTAAAAACTGATAATTACTCTAATCAACATTCAAATTTATGCTAGACTATTTTATTAAACAAATTACATTCACTGTAATGCAGTAATTTCAGACTTTTCTCAAATAAGCAACAATATAAACCAACTTTTTAAAGTCAACTGAGAATGCACATCACTAAAGTAATTTCCTTTCATTTCCTCTCTCATAAGAATATTTCTGTCCACCCTGCCTAGGATGACTCAACAAATTGCACTTCATTACTTAGTGGCAATACTCTGATTGTCATCATCCCAAGGAAATAGAAATGTGTCCTCCCAGTATCCAATTCAGTAAATCAAATATCTGCAATTTAATCCTATGCAACAAGGTTAATTTTAGAGTAAAAGCTGATTAAAAACTTTCCAATCTTAATAATCTGTTCCAATTAAATGCTTATTAATCAATGAATTCTAACAAAGCAATTATTTCCTATATTTAGAGAGATCTCGTAACTTCTGATCAGTCCTTCAAATTCAAGCACAACAATCAGGATTTTCATAATTAGAATGTTATGCTCTTTCTCTCATCTCAAAGAATTCAAAGATTCATCAGAACTTAGGGACAAAGACAAAGAAACAAGATGAGCAAAAGCATAATCAAAGAAAAAAACATAAGCAAGATACCACTTTTGTCTAGAAACATAGGGAAAAGTTTCATTTTCAGTCCCTCTAGTTTCCAGGGTGTCTCAGACTGTTGGTGGAAACTCCCAAAGTTTAATTGAGAGGGAACAGTCGCAATCTTAAAAATGTCAATATAATGAGATTTACAATTCTTCTTTTATGTATTAACCCAAAGGAAATATTTACAGAGGCAGACTAACTTTAAAAAGTACAAAGCTGCTCCTCATAAAATCTATTATAAAAACAAAAATTAGATTCAATATTTGTTACACATATTTTATGAAATCCTAGTCATTAAGCACATTTAAAGATACAAAAAAAGTGGTTTTCTAAAAGCAAAATAAGATATGCAGTATGATCTTAATTTGGTAGAGAAAAAATAATAATGGAAGGAAATAAAGAAAATACTAACACTGGGTGGTGGAATAACGGATTTTTAAGTTTTTCTTTCTTTTCAAAACTTTCTACAGTAAAAAAATATTACTACTTTTATTTATTTTTTATTATTATTCTGGTGACATTGGTTAACGAAATCCAGTAAGTTTCAAGTGTACAATTCAACAGTAAGTCATATATATATTGCATTGTATGTTCACCACCCAGAGATTTGTTTGTCACCACATATTTGACCTCTTTTACTACTTTTAAAACTAGGAAAAATTATCAAGCCTTCTAAATCACATTTATGTAAAAAAAAAAGAAAAAAAGAAAAAGATGGGATTTAAACTAAGCAATATAAATTGCTGTGTCAATACCTACACACGCAGTGTTCTTCCTCAATCTATACCTCATCTACTTGACTGTGGAAAATGAGAGCAGCGCTTAAGAAATGGACTCTAAGTTGGACAGAAAAGAGAAAGAAAAAGTTGAAGCTGGGTGTCTGGTTACTGAAATTTATAGATTTTTTTCGGATTTTCAGTCAATTACTTCATACTGGCAAAGTATCAAATACAAAATTATTTTTGAGAAACAGTCACCACAATCATCCCTATTCTGAATCCTAAGTAGAGACGAGGGGAAATTTTTTCAAAAAAAATATCCCTCAAATTCCCAGTCCCACGTTTCTTTGAAGATTCTCCCCAGGTCTCCTTCCTTAACCTACAAATCACCTCTCCAGAAGCAATTCAAGGAAAGTTTGGGGGTGAAAATTTAATTAAACTAATACATAAAAAAAAATCACCCCTTAACTCTTCTCTCATTTGGGCATACATAAACAAAAGCCTCTTAGAGACAGACTGCCATCTCCCACTGCCACTAAAACATCTGAATTCATGAGGCTGCAAACAAAACGGCTTTCTCACCGTTTTTATTACTAGTGTTTTACCTGTCCTGAAGGAACCCTGGCATACTGAACTAAAACTCCAGAACTACAGGGATCATGCCTTATTCCTCTTCGGAGACGGTCCTGAGCCCCCACCTACGTCTGACGATTTGACACCCTCTTATTTATCTGTTTGTCAAGATACAGTACTGTTCTATATTTTCAAAAAGAAATGAAAGACTGCTTAACCCCTTCCGCAGTTTAAAGTAAATAATACTATTTTGGGAGCATGTCTCTATCCCCAGCAAGCAGCGACTGTAAAACGGCCCACAACTGTAATGTTTCCTAAATCCGGGTCTCCGCCGGGATTTATTTATTTCTGCCCGTTTGCCAAAACCCCTAAAATCGACAGTCGGGAGACACTTCGATCTTTTCTGCTTCTTCCACCAGCAGGATCCGCACTGCTCGGGCCCCTCCCGCAAACGCCCACCTGCCTGGCTGGGAGCCGCAGGCGACTAGTGGTCGGGGAT